CTGACCATTGTAGTTGTATTCTCAAAGTCAATTGATACAAGCGGTCGCTAAAGCATGTCGTGAGCCAAGGGATCTAGGTAAGCTCGAGGAGCAGGAACAACAATTTGTGGTGGAGTCAGAGCTGATGTAGTGATAGTCGAATGAGCAATATTGACCGAGACAACTAATGGATCCACTATAGGAACGACTGACTGAATCACTGAAAGAGCAAATGATTTTGTACCTGACTGAATGGAAAGAGTGCTTAAGGGCGTAATATAAATCGAAATAGTAATCTGAATAATCATGCTATGAGGAGTAATTGAGTTGGTAGCTGGTGGAGCGGTGCTAACTGTAGGATGGAACGACGAGGCAGCTGTCTGTCTCTGATTATGTATAATACCTAGAATAGAGGGAGCAACACTAACTGTAGCTAGAACTGTCTGAGGAACATGGACACTTGAAGTGCTGGTAGTGCATTGTCTCCTCTGATCCCTACAAACGGTGGTCCAACTTTGACGGGGTTCAGCCTCAACCACTTCCCTCTTACCTTTATCCTTAGTCGGGAACAGTTGGCCAAGGAGTAGGGTCAACATGAGGAACAACAGGTCGTGTACCAAGCGTACAATAATCATCTGTGTGCCGAAATGTTTGCATCTATAACAAAATTTTGGCCTCTTGTCATACAATTCAGCCTGCCAATAGCCACCGATCTTCTCCTTCTCGATCCAAACTCTGTTAGGAAGATCGTAGTCCAAGTTCACCTCCACACATACTCTAGCCTCACTGGGACGATGAAGATCACAAGTCACCTCATCAATACGAACTGGTAAGCTGATAGCTGTTGTAATAGCATAAAACTGCTCTTAGCCCGAAAGTAAATGGATAATAGAGGAAAAGATGCCCAAACTGAAGCAATGGGGTCTCCTGTTGTGAACTAAAGCTTGGAGTTCATTTAAAGATTCTCATAGGACAACCATCAATGTACCACATTGGTTTGAGGAATAACCATGTGTAATTGTCCTTGTGCTCCAAAAGAATCAATATATCTTTGACATCAATCAAATCAATAGTGTAATTACCATAGAAACCAAAACGCGAAAAATTATCATACACCTTAACCATAGAGGGCCTGCAGTGCACAGATTTGCCAATAGGTGTAAATTGTATGGCTTAGCTAGAATATCCTCATCTGCATCTAGAAATAGGACTGCAGACTCATCGTGATGAATGAAAGGCTCCTCGTCAAACAAGGGCCAAGTCTGATCTAGTAAGATATGAATATACTTTGGATGTGCTTGGTGTGCATTAACATTATGAATTTTGAAGAGTATTTCTCGAAATCACATTGTGTTCGTGTAGTCCTATTTGATGGAGAATGTGATCTCCGCCCTCAACCATACTTTCATTTCAAGTTAGGAAGATATGAAATGTCCGAGTAAAGAATTATCAAAGTCCGATGGGGGATTAAAGCAGAAGTTTTCTTTACGTGTAAATATTTCCTCGCGCTCTCCTGGTAGCATATCTATTGAATTCGCTAGTTATTATAGTTGTTGGCCCATCACGTATACATAATTTAACACATTCCTTGTGCTTCGACAAACTGACATATTCACATTTTAAATTTTCGATTCATCAATGAACCAAAAAACTTGCTTGAGGAAGCAACTCGTCATCTAGGACCGTGTTATTATGAATTTTGGAGTGTGTTTCTTGAAAACACATTGTGTACATGCAGTCCTATTTGATGGAGAATGTCATCTCTGCACTCAACCATACTTCATTTCAGGTTAGGAAGATATAAAACGTTTGAGTAAAAAATCATCAAAGTCCGATGAGGGATTAAAGTAGAAGTTTCCTTTATGTATAAATACTTCCCCGTGCTCTCCCGATCGCAAAACTATCGACTTTGCCAGTTATTATAGTCGTTGTGCCATCATGTGTATACAATTTAATGCATTTCTTGTGCTTCGACAAATTAACATATTCACATTTTAAGTTTTTAATTTATCAATGAACAAAAAAACTAGCTTGATGAAGCAACTCGTCATATAGGACCCAGTGGCGGATCCAGCACCTGATGAGCTCCAGCGCCGCGCGTGCTAGATTCATCGATCGCCATTTTTTTTTTTTTGGGTTGACAGTCAATAGTTTAAGTTATATTATTGATAATTCACTTTTATTTCCAATATTTTTTCTGGCCAGGTTGGCTAGAGCCTGCACATACATCTTTTAAGTCCTGCGTTCAAATTTTTTTTCCAGCCAATTCAATGTACAATATTTTTAGTCATACTATTTTTACCAAAATTAATGTAATAATGATGATGTCAACAAGATTCGAACCCGAAAGGTTTTGTTCAACTTGTTGAGAATGTGACCAATAAGGCAACTATTAATTTGTGACACTTATATGTTAGATTTTAGCGATTTTAATGCAATTGTAAAGGTTGAAATTTGCGCTCTTCCTTTGAACTATACAAAACTTAGTAAGAAAAAAATTTGGTGAGTACAGTTATTTTTATAACAGAATTGTATATGTTCGATTTCAACAAAATAAGTTATTGTATTTAAAATTTAGACCTTGTTTGATTCCCATTTATTTTAGAATATAATTTTCTCTTTCTTATTTTTAATCATACAATTTTCAATAAAATAATATTACACATAATTTAAAACTTATCTTTATTTTTCACACATTCTCCATTAAATCACTATTTCAAAAAGTATATATATTTTGTAAAAAAAGGGACATCAAATGAGCTATTAATATATTATTGCGGTCGACGACCGACGATCACCTGTGCAAGCTCAAAATCCTGGATTCGCCACTGATAGGACTTGTTATTTGTATGTCACTCTAATAAGAGCAACCTTGTGTGGAAAGTGTAATACCCATAATGGGGAGATTTATTTTTATTTTTAAATTTTAGTTATTTATTTGGGACTCGTTTGTACTTTTTTTAATGTGGAACTATAGTTGCAATTTGTTGTTTATTTTTTCTTCTTTTCTTTTTGTTTCAATTAAATAAAAGAATATATTTATCATTTTATAAGAATTTATTGAAAAAATAGAAGAAAATGGGCCATCCACACTTCAAAGTTCATACAGTAGATTTTTCTTCAAGCCTCAACTAATTGAGCATGCTTTATTTTTTTAATCTCTTCGGGTATTGGATTATTTACGGTAGTTTAGTTGCTAATGTCCATTTTTGTTGATAACCAAATTAATTGAGTAATTAACAACACCTGTTCAAATTTCATTGTCAAATGATTCAAATTTCATTGTCAAATGAAAAAACAAAACTCCTTCGTGGATGACATATAGACGAACAATAATGTTTGACTAAGAGTGCACTTTCTTGCCCATTTAACGTTATACTGAAAGTTAGAGATTGCTACTAAGAACTGCAACATTAAGAGAACAATAATTTTCTGAGATTGAACTTTTCATGAGGAAATATTCATTTCTTATTTATTTTACAATTATTTGTAGATTAGCTTATTATATCTTCAGCATTTTAGAGCATTTTCAGAAAATTCTTTAAAAGTTATTTTTAAAGAGTCGTAATTTAAAATTGGGCTTCAATCAATCTAGATGGCACCAAGTAATACTAATGTCTGATAATACGAGACATGTCTAATTAGACTTATCACGTAATGGCACTGATATAGGTTGATAGAGGAAACCACCCTCGACGGCAAGCAAGATAGATCACGGCACTTCGACGCGAGGTCGTCGACCACCCTTGGGGGCGCTCTACCACTACGCGAAGTGATCGACCCCCCCTAAGGGCGCTCTACCATCACGTGAGGTCTACAACTGGAATGGGACTACTTGTCCAAACACTTAGCCATAAAATTCCTAGTGAATCAACTAGATTCCATAGATGCTAAATACGAGAACAATCCCCAGGCGGGAAACTAGAGATCTCCCACTCAGAACGTGGGCATAGTGGGAACGCCAGCGTGGGACACGTGGCACCACATCCGCCCAGCGGTTATCCGACCCCTAACGCCTATAAATACCTCCGGACGCAGCACAGGTAAAGGGTTCTTCTTTTTTGATCTATTTTGTTCTCCCTTAAAAAATTTCAATCATTTTTCCAAGCCTATAAACTAATTCTCACACCGGAGGTAAAACGGGGGAGAAAGCCCCGCCTTCACTTTTTCAGGTCATATATACCGGACGGAGTAGACGAAATGCCCAGCACAATCAGGCAAATAGGAAGGTGTTGATCAATCACCATTTCATTGGCGCTATCTGTGGGAAACGATTTGAACTAAAGAGCCATGCCAAGAAGACGAACAAGGAGTGAAACTCGCCTGGTTGGGAATACGGCGGAGTCGGAGTCAGTTGCAAGGGGATGTGAGCCGCCGCCGCCCCCGCAATATGTGACGCAGAGTCAATTCAGTGCTTTGGAGACCCAGTTAGCAGCGATGATGGCACTCCTACAGGACCAGTCGCAAAGAGCCGTTGTCCCTCCATTGAGCCCGACGGAAGTGACGAGCCAGCAACCGCCTCAAGCGCCACCCGCGGTTGCCCCGCCCATCTCTCTGCGGGGGGCGGGAGATGCGGAAGCCCCAAGGATCGAAGCTCAACAGCCCCTGCAAACCATGGTAAACCTGGAACAAAAGATGGAAGAAATCATGGCCCAGAAGATAGATGATGCCTTGTCAAAGAGAAAAGATAGACGAAGACAGATGGTTTTGGAGGAAGACCCGTTCGCACCAGAAATCATGGCTGTCCCCCTACCTAAAGGTTTCAAACAGCGTATGATAGAAGCGTATGACGGAGTCACGGACCCGCTTGACCACTTGCGAACCTTCGTAGATCTGATGAGACTTTACGCCGCTCCGGACGCAGTGATGTGCCGATCCTTTCCCCCCACACTCAGGAGGGACGCTAGGGACTGGGTAGCTACCTTGGCCCGCGATCCATCAAATCATTTGATGAGCTCTCCAGGAGCTTTGTAGCTTACTTCCTAAGCAGCAAGAGAAAGAGGAAGATAGCCATTGGGTTGATGCAGGTCGTACAGGACAAGGACGAGTCATTGCAGGAATACTTGGCTAGGTTCAGCCGGGCAATTCTCGGCATAAGAGACCTGCAAATGTCCGCATTGGTTACCGCCTTGATGAATGGAACGCAAATCCGGGCCTTTAAGATGTCACTCTCAAAGAACCCCCCAGAATCGATGCACGACCTATTGAGGAAGGGGGACAAGTATGTCGATGCAGAGGAAGCAGAGAAGATAACTAAAAATCTCAGGGATGGAAGGGAAGCGGAAGTTCATAAGTGGAAAACATATGACGAGCAAAGGCACACTGATAAGAACAAGCCGAAGAATGAACGCATAAACAAGGGATATGCCCAAGATCGGCCGGTCAAACAGAAGCGAGAGGAGGTCAAGACACCCACCCCTTTGACCATTCCACGTACAAAGTTATTGATGGAGATACAACACATGAGAGAGCTCGAATGGCCTAAACCGATGCTAACTCCTTCCGGCAAGAGAAATCAAAGTAAATATTGCCATTTTCATAGAGATCACGGGCATGATACCGAAGAATGCCTACAGTTAAAGGAAGAAATTGAGCGCCTACTAAGAAGGGGACTATTGGCTAAGTATGTGAAAAATGACAAGGGCAAGCAAAGGCTCGAAGGTCTACCCCCATCGAGGGCAGGAGTGATAAACATGATCATCGGAGGAATAACATCAGGCGGCGACTCAAATTCGGCTAGAAAGAGCTATGCGCGTTCTGTAGGGGTTTGCTCTATTCAGAAAAAGCGAGATTCAACCAGAGCATTACTTTCGATCAAGAGGACTTGATTGGTATAACGCACCCCTATGATGACGCCTTAGTAATAGTAGGCGACATAGCGGATTTTGACGTGAAAAGGGTGTTAATCGACGGAGGAAGTGCGGGAAATGTCCTCACCTGGGATGCCTTCTTGGGTCTAAAAGTTCCCCAAGAGAAGTTGAAGATGGTGACTACCCCCCTACAAGGCTTTGAAGGGGGTAACAGTGATACCGGAGGGGACTGTGGAACTTTCAGTCACACTGGGGACATATCCAGCAACAGTGGTCATCATGACTAATTTCTTGGTTGTCAAGACCCCCATGGCCTACAACGCTATCTACGGCCGACCATTACTAAATGCAGCTGGTGCTGTCCCATCGACCTACCATCAAGTTATGAAGTTTCCAACTAGTAGGGGAATCGAATGCGTGCGAGGGGACCAGCAGGCATCGAGAAAGTGCTATGTGGACAGTATACAGGCCAAAGGCTCACCATCAGTCATGATGCTGGATGTGGAACTCCCGAGGGAGTGGATCGAACCGCTCGATATGATTGAAAAAATCTTTGTAGCCGAAGGACAAGAGTTTAGTGTTGGAACAGGTTTGGGATCCGAAGAGAAAGAAAAATTGGCAAGGTGTCTGACTGATAACTTGGATGTCTTCGCTTGGAGCCCAGAGGATATCCCAGGAATTAGCCCGACCGTTGCGCAGCACCGCTTCGGTGTCCAGCCGGGGGCTAAACCAGTGAAGCAGAAAAAAAGAAAACTCGCCCCTGAGAGGCAGGCTGTGGCCAGAGCTGAGGTAGAAAAACTGCTACAGGCGGGTTTCATCCGAGAAGTGCAGTACTCCGAGTGGTTGGCAAACATCGTACTTGTGAAGAAGTCAAACAGAAAGTGGCGTATGTGTGTAGATTATACTGGGCTAAATAAGGTGTGCCCAAAAGATTCATACCCGCTTCCCAGAATAGATCAACTGGTAGACGCAACTTCAGGACACGGAAGGCTCAGCTTCCTAGACGCATTCTCGGGATATCATCAAATTTCAATGGCGAGTCCGACCAAGAGAAGACGTCATTTATCATTGACTTTGGCACGTACTGTTACACGGCTATGTCGTTTGGTTTGAAAAACGCAGGGGCGACGTATCAGAGGATGGTAAACAAAGTCTTCCGCAAGCTGATTGGAGATGTTGTAGAAGTCTATGTTGACGATATGGTGGTCAAGAGTGCCAAGACTGATGACCATGTGGCCAGCTTGTAGAAAGTGGTTGACGTTGCTCGACAAAACAGGTTAAGGTTCAATCCAGAGAAATGTGTTTTTGGCATTGCGGGGGGAAAATTCCTAGGATTCATGATCACACAAAGGGGGATCGAAGTAAACCCGGACAAAATTCAGGCGATCCTAGAAATGAAAAGTCCTACCAGCAGGAAGGAAGTCCAGAGGTTGACAGGGCGGGTGGCCGCCTTAAATCGTTTCATAAGCTGGGCAACAGACAAATGCTACCACTTTTTCAAAGCTATAGGGGGCTCCTCCAACTTCGAGTGGACCCAGGAATGTGAAGAATCACTCAGGAGCTTGAAACAGTCATTACAAGAGCCCCCGATCTTGACCAACCCCTGCCCCGAGGATGTGTTGTGTCTCTACTTGGCAGTCTCACCAAGAGCAGTCAGCGCGGTGCTGGTGAAAGAGTTCTCAAAGGCGCAAAAACCAATCTACTATGTGAGCCAAGTATTAAGGGGCGTGGAGGAAAGATACAGCCTGGCTGAACAGCTGGTGTTAGCATTGATGGTAGCGGTTAGAAAGTTGAGGCCTTACTTTCAGTCTCATACGGTACAAGTAATGACCGACCAACCTATCAAGCAGATCCTACATCGGCCCGAGACCTCTGGAAGAATGTTGAAATGGGCAATCGAGTTAAGTGAGTTTGATATTGAATTCAGGCCAAAGACGGCTATTAAGGCACAAGCTCTAGTAGACTTCATCGTTGAACTCACCCTTTCGCCCGAGCACCCACCAGGGAAACAGGCAGATTGGAAAATTTTTGTCGATGGATCTTCGAACGACGAAGGATCCGGGGCCGGGATCATAATGATAGGTCCGAATGGGGAAGAGTTGGAATACTCGTTGCGTTTTGAATTCCCAGCTACAAATAACGATGCCGAGTACGAGGCAGTGATCACGGGTTTAAGATTGGCAGCTAGACTCAGGATATCATCAGCAGAAATTTGCAGCGACTCTCGATTAATAATTGGGCAAGTGACGGGGGAGTTCGAAGCAAAAGACGGAAAGATGGCAGCATATTTAATGGAGGTCAAAAACTTGCAGAAGGGGTTCACCAGGTTTAAGATAACTAAGGTCCCGCGAAAGGACAATGAGCGGGCAGACACTCTGGCCAAACTCGCATCCGCTAACCCCAGACGTCTGCCTCGCACAGCAAGCGTGCAAATTCTGCGGCAACCTAACATCCCACACACGACCGATGTCATGAATATAGAGCATGAGGGGAGTTGGATAGACCCGCTTTTTGAATATCTAACAAAGAATAAATTGCCAGAAGATGATTTCACGGCGAGAAGGCTAAAAATTCGGGCAGCCTCGTTTGCCGTCATTGATGGACTGCTCTACAAACGAGGTTTCACGATGCCATATTTGAAGTGTTTGCGACCAACAGAGGCACAGGAGGTGCTAGTCGAGGTACATGCGGGAATTTGTGGCAACCACCAAGGGGCCGCTTCCCTTGCGTTCAAGACGCTTCGACAAGGGTATTATTGGCCTAGTATGAAGGAAGATGCTAAGGATTTGGTTAGGAAATGCGATGCATGTCAACGCCATGGGAATTTGATCCACATTCATGCTGAGCAACAGACGGCAATTTTCGGGGTGTGCCCTTTCTTTCAATAGGGGATGGACATCTTGGGACCTTTGCCCCTAGCCAAGGGACAAAGGAAGTTCTTGCTAGTCGCCGTAGACTACTTTACTAAGTGGGTGGAGGCTGAACCCTTGGCCACCATCACGACTACAAAGGTACAGGGATTTGTCTGGAAGAATATCATATGCAGGTTTGGCGTACCCAGAGTAATCATTACTGATAATGGAAAACAATTCGATAATCATAGTTTTCGAGCCTTCTGCACAAGTTACCACATCGACCACATGCTAACTTTAGTTGCTCACCCACAGGCGAATGGGTAGGTTGAAGTAACTAATCGAACCATACTATGGGATCTGAAGACGAGGCTGGAAAAGGAGAAAGGGCTTTGGGCGGAGGAATTGCCCAATGTACTGTGGGCATATCACACAACTCCCCGAGAGTCGACCGGGGAGACGCCATTCAAGTTAGCTTTTGGGATGGAAGTCGTGGTTCCGGTTGAGATATTAAGCGAGACGGGAAGGATGAGAATCAAGCAACACGACGAAGCAGCGACTAGAGGAGAACTCGACCTCCTTGAAGGGATAAGGGATAAGGCGGCAATAAGAATGATGGCTTACAAACGGAGAGTCACCGAGTACTTCAACAGGAGAGTCAAGCCAAGAGTCTTTCAGCCAGGAGATCTCGTGCTAAGGGATGCAGCAACAGCAGAACACCCCCCACCAAAGCTTGGTCTAAACTGGGAAGGCCCGTACGAGGTAATCCGCGGGCTGGGGAAGGGAGCTTACAGTTTGAAAGATATGAAAGGAAGGCCGCTAGGTAGACTGTGGAACGCGGAACACCTCAAAAAGTATTATCAGTAGGTTTCGAAATGTACGCACAGGCAACACTTTTGTAAATACAGTCGACTAGGTTGCATCGTTTATTTTCTCCATGTAATGCCTCACGAAGGCACCTTTATTTGTAATATTTGTTATTCAATGAAAGACCTTGGCGGTGACGGATGATGAGGGCGCTAAGGAAGGGCCAGCCTAGGTGGGACGTCCCGGTGCGCCTACTGAGCTCACGAGGCCAAGAATTTTTTATGCTAACAGGCAACTTTAAAATCCACGCTCATCCCACGAAGACATGAGGTCGACATAGCCTACGCGGCAAGGCAGAGAGCCTTAAAAAGTCAAAAAATTGGCTAAGGTCCTTAACTGCCAAACCACCCCCTGTGGTCGACATGGCCTACGCGGCAAGGCAGAGAGCCTTAAAAAGTCAAAAAATTGACTAAGGCCCTTAACTGCCAAACCACCCCCTGTGGTCGACATGGCCTACACGGCAAGGCAGAGAGCCTTAAAAAGTCAAAAAATTGGCTAAGGCCCTTAACTGTCAAACCACCCTCTGCGATCGACAAAGCCTACACAACTAGGCGAAGAACCATGAAATGTCAAAAAGTTGGTTAAGGTCCTACACCGCTGGACCCCTCTACCTGTGGACGACATAGCCTGCTTCTTAAGCACAAGGTAACATAAGGCTAAATTTGGCTAAGGCCATCGACCACTGGACTATATATATATACACACACTAACACCCCACACCAACAGGCGGTAAAAAGAAAAATAACACAAGAAATAACGATTTGAAAGAATCATGCACTCAACACTAATGATATCGAATGAAAAACGTGTTCATACATCCGAGAAATTCTTGCCCACACCCCGAGCAAGTAGGAGAAGACAAGACTAAACAAGAGTAAACATAAAAAAGGAAAAGCTAGCAAAGAAAATAACAATTAAGAAATGCTTCAACCCAAGGGGGAGAGATCCCCACTATCGCCTCGTGATGAACGACCATGTGACCTGGACGACTGAGCTGCACTCTCCTTTCCCTTACGCTGCGCAAGAAATCTATCCAAGCTAGAGGGGTCTATAGAAGGATGTTCGGCCATGATCCACTCCTTGGAGAATTTGATAGACGCTGACATTACCTTCCCCCCATATGAATTCAAAGCCCTAGCGTAATCAGACGACGTCTTATACTGTTCCACAGATGCCTTGAGGTCACTAGCATATTCAGTTGAGGCCTTATTCTTTTCAATCGCCTCCTCAGGAGCACGAGCCAAAACAGAACGTAGGTTGTTGTTCTCCGTCTCTTGCTCGCGAGCTCAAGCGTCCGACGCCTCCAGAGATTTCTTCAAGGAAGATATTTTTCTCTTGTAGTGATAAGCCTCTTTTTTCTTTTCTTCAGTAAGATTTTTCAGCTCCAAAACCAGGCGGCTATTCGATTCTGCGAGTCCAGTTTGGAGGGCCACCACCTAAAAAAAAAGAGAGGGAGAAAAGGTGAAATCAAGTATTAAAACCCAGCTTAAAAGGCGAAACTCAACATGAAAGAAATTACGAAATGGGAAACATACCCTCTAGAGATAAACAGCCGAAGCCCTTTCGATGTCATCTGCACTGCACCCTGCAATTGCTCTAGAACGAGTAGGTGTTACCAAAGACTTTAGCACCTCCATCTCATGATTACCCCGGGTGGGAGGAAACCCAAAGTTAGGGAGTGAGTCCTCACGCTCACAACGTGTGCGACTGGGAGTTCCTGGCTTAGGAACTGGAGCCACCTCACAAGGCTCGTCTGAAGGCTGGGAAGCCTCGTTGATCATCCGAGATTTCTCCCCTGGGTCGGCCGCCCTTTTTCTCTTCGAAGGGATAGGTGATGGATCAGATTCACCCTCCACCTCACCCTCCAGCCCATGGACAGGCACGAAATCCATAACCCCTTCAAGATCAAGCTCTGCCCCTGCACATATAAGTTAGAGTTGAGGTAACAAGGTAGCCAAAAAAAAAAATTTGAAGGGGAGAGGATGGAAAAAGTGAGCACAAGAGCTAACCATCAACAAAGGCATGCCCCTCATCGCCTCCTGGCAAATTCTTCAACACCCCATCAAGATCAAAGTCCATACCTGAATACACACATCCAAACTCATTAGTCCCGACAAACTAAGAGCAAAAAATAATAAGTAAACGCGTGTGCATGCAATATGAAAAAAAAAACGGAAACAACCTACCCGTAGGACGACACATCCCCACTATCAACATGTTCTTCATAGTCAGAACTGATTCTAAGTCAGGTGCATAAGGCGGTACATCGACCAACTCTTGAATTTGAGCTTCTAGAAAGGGGGTAACCTCTACTTGGCTATTGAAAAGACGAATTTGAGGGTGTCGCCAATTGGTGTCAAAAGAGAATTGACCCGTTGAAGGCCGGACAAAGAAGAATCGAGACTTCCATCCGCTATTCGAATTTCTAAACTTAGGAAATTGCAAAGGAACCCTAGCGGTAAAATAGATAAATGCATTACATTGAACTAGCTCATGCATTTCGAAGACACACCTGAAAAGATCCATGAAAAGCGAAATTTCCCGTTTAAGACAGACATATAGAAAATGTAACGCTTTTCTCCACGCATTAGGGTTAATCTGACTAGGAGTAAGGTGGAACTCGTTGAAAATCGACACAAAAAAGGGATGAATGGGAAACCGAAGACCCCCGTCCATAACGTCCTTGTACACGGCTATCTCGCGGGGGTCGGACCCGGGGAGTCTTTCTTTAGGATCGAGGACTCTATAAACGTAGTCATCCACCCGGTCATACTTACCTAGACATTTCTCCAACTTAAGTGGTGAATTGTAAAGACTATAACCTTTTGGAATATCCATGGGGACAACCTCACCAGCCGGGTCTCGCCCAACTTCTAAATTTTGATTTGGAAATTTGGAAGAACTAATGTGCCTCTTCGGAGGATTTGGAACAAACGCTTGAGAATCAATTGAATGAGTTTTACTATCAATATTATGAAGAAATCTACCAGATGAAGGAGGCGAATCACTAAAGGGCCGAATCGATGGACTAGATAGGCCGCAAAACTTAGGAGAGGACGGGGGATGGCCAGCCTTCGCCGATCGCCAACCGGCCCCCCGTGGGTCGATTGGATCCCCTCCCACACCCTCCGACGGAGGTTCGATCGAGTCACTATACCCATCACTTTTCTCATTGGAAGGAGAAGAAAGAATTATTTTATACATGACAACAAAGAAGATGAAGAGAAGAAAATTCAAAACAAGACTTTGGATTAAAAGAAGAGAGAAAATTACTTTAGAAGGGAGGAGGCCTAGGATGTTGAGTGAAAGTGATTCTCAAAAATAGGAATTACACCCCTTTTTATAAACACAAGAATTTTAACTTTTGGAGGGAATTTTCCCTCCAATATTGGGGCCATTGGTGGGGTGCCATGTGTGCAGTAAGATTACCACTCGATCGCGTTTACGTTGTTCGATTTATTAATATGAACTACTCCTTTGTTATATATTTTAAAAAAATGGTGGGGAAAAGGAAATTTTCAAACCAACCAAAATAAAGAAAATTGCTACCCCTTGTCGAAAACATCGACAAGGGGTGGGAGGCTAATAATATAGGTTGATAGAGGAAACCACCCTCGACGGCAAGCAAGATGGATCACGACACTTCGACGCGAGGTCGTCGACCCCCCTGGGGGCGCTCTACCACTACGCGAAGTGATCGACCCCCCCTAAGGGCGCTCTACCATCACGTGAGGTCTACAACTGGAATGAGACTACCTGTCCAAACACTTAGCCATAAAATTCCTAGTGAATCAACTAGATTCCATAGATGCTAAATACGAGAACAATCCCCAGGCAGGAAACTAGAGATCCCCCACTCAGAACGTGGGCATAGTGGGAACGCCAGCATGGGACACGTGGCACCACATCCGCCCAGCGGTTATCTGACCCCTAACGCCTATATATACCTCCGGACGCAGCACAGGTAAAGGGTTCTTCTTTTTTGATCTATTTTGTTATCCCTTAAAAAATTTCAATCATATTTTTCAAGCCTATAAACTAATTCTCACACCGGAGGTAAAACGGGGGAGGAAGCCCCGCCTTCACTTTTTCAGGTCAGATATACCGGACGGAGTAGACGAAACGCCCAGCACAATTAGGCAAATAGGAAGGTGTTGATCAACCACCATTTCAGGCACTTAATTAGTTAATGATTTTGTTACTTGTGAATAAATGGACATAAGCAGTTACGAAAAATGATGCGAAGGGAAAAGATTTGATGAAAAAGTTGATTATGTTTTAAACCATCGAATGATAGAGTGACATGTGATATTATGTAATCCTCTATGTAAATGTTAATATACATGTAGCCAAATCCAGTAGTTAATTACATCTAGATCAGTATTGTAATACTAATTTGGAAGAAGTTATTTTTATTTTTGTTTTAAAACCAATTTTTGAAAAAGCTTCCTAATTTAGAAATGTTTTTAGAGGATGAGCTTCCTCTAAAAACTCATCTAACTAGAAGAAACACTCATATACTCAAATGGGTTTAAAAGTAATTTTTGGCTTTCAAAAGCTCATTTTGATCTTTCAAAAACCATGTAAATGGGTCCTAAATAGTATTACTTCATTTGGAGAGCATGGAAGATCAAATTTGAATAGAATACATTCGAATAGAATAGGTTTGGACGACGGGTAAGTCGATTATGATATTTCAATACCATGAATCACTCATTACACTTCGAATATTTTGTAAATGGAACCATTTATGCCCTCATATTTACTGAAATCGAAACTAAATACAAACGGTCGATTTAAGTTCGAGATTATTTTTAGCTATAAAATTTTTTAAAAATCGTAATATGACAATATAAATTATCTTTTCAATATCTAGAAGAAATAAAATATGCCTCCAAATTCGTATTTGAACATTTTTTAATTCACTACAAATATTTTATCCAGTCCCGAACCGACCGAACCCGACGGTTCTTGTTAAATTAAATAACCGAACGGGTATCTGAATTGAGAACCGCGCCCACCCCTAGTAATATCATTCAATCATGATGAAGGCTACATGCGGAGCCTTCATAAGGATTTGTAGGGCGGACAACAACATAAAAAGTATGATCAAAAGTGGTTATGAATGTAAGTTAAATAAGTTTTAAAAAAAAATAATAATATTATAAAAATAACAAATTCGATTCTAGAGTCTGTACTCAGAGTCGCTATTCAAAAATTAACAACTATCATAACCTTAACAATTCTAAGGATTTTGCTACCAATACATAAAAAATGTACATAAACGATTGTAGAAAATGATGCGGAGGGGAAAAATTGGATGACAATTTGGCTGTGTTTTAAATTGACAAATGATAGAATGATATGTTGACGTTACGTAATCATTTGTGTAAATCTTGATGTGTAGTAATATCCCAATTCTAAATCATCGATTTTGATTCCTAGTTTAGGCCCAGTTAATTTAAAGTAATGTATTATGAAATAGTTATTGATGGAGAATGTGTGGTTAAAGAGGACGATTTTTTTTAAATTTGCGTGCAATATTATTTTAGGGGGTGTTTGATAGTTATTTTTATGTAAAAATGTATTTTAGAATAGTAAATTGATGTGAAATGTGTGGTTGAAAAATAAGGAAAATTTTTTGATTTGCGTGTAATATAATTTTAATAAAAAATGTGTGGTTGAAAATAAGAGAGAGAAAAATGCATTTTGAAAAAAATGGCTATGAAAACAGGACCTTAATAAAAAATGTGTTATTGAAAATGAGTATAGTAAAAAAGATAATGGGGAATAATATAAAGGTGCACAGCATCGCTTACAGCTCTCTCACACCTCGAGGGCCCATGTGCAATAAAAAATCCGCACCCCTCTCCCCTCACTTGTGAAGGGGCTGTAGCCCGAGCTTCACTGTACAAATAGCAATTTCCTACTATAAATGAATCAATCAATAGCTCCCCGTAGCATAGTCCAGTCGTGTAAAGGATGGGAGTGAGGTTAGTGTGGGGGTTCGATTCCTGATACATGGAATTGGATTCCTTGTAAGCACTGACAACTCTTGTTTCCTGGTTTGTTGGGACATATTTCGCGACTTACCTCCCTCATAAAGTTCTAGGGACGGGACGGTGAGAACCCTCGAGGTTGGAGTTCAACCTTTTTTATTTTATTTTATTTTATTTTATAAATGAATCAATCAATAGGGTTCAAATAGGGGCTTATTTATTTTTGAACGGAACTTGATGCAATTCAGGGGTGAAATAGACATTGGGGCTCATCAATCACGTGATAAGATATGAGTTGTAACGATATATTTATCTGCCAGACTGGCAGCCGTTTAGAATCCAACACGAATATCTGCTGGCGATTCCCTCATATTAGAAATTAGAGCATTGATAATGCTATGGAACGTGTTCAGGGTTCATCTCCTTTGCTGATGCTGTTAGTGTAGGTGGTGAACAAATCTTTTAGTGTGAGAGTACTTGCTGAAATCAACAGATCCCACCAGCATTGCACTGGGTTAGTGTCATTTCCATATTTTTTGTTTTCAGAAAATCTTGTTCTTGTGTATTAAGAATTAGATCCAGAAATTTTGGGTATTCTTTAGGTATTTGTGTCTGCATTTGCAATTTTAAAGTACCATTGTGTTGTGGTTTAGATGGCCGGAAATTTCATGGGCTATTCTTAATTTCTTCAATGATTTTTAGAGGAAGACTTGAACGAGAAGGATTTGGGTATATCCTGTTGAACTAGAAAAGTCTCAAGAATCTGTTTTCTTTGGGTTTTGTAATAGTGAAATGAAGGCATTTTTGGGTTCTTTCTTGTGGATTTTCTTTAATGAAGTTGCCCTAGAAAGTTGGATTTAAACACATTTTTTGTTTTCCATCCATAATCCATCAAGGTCTTACAAGTCCAGAAAGATAGTAATAATTGATATTTTACGATTCAAAGGCGATCCCAAAAGTGTGGTTGAGGTTGAGTGGTTGTTAATTATTATCTGATAAATATGATTGAAAGGTTTTCACGAAAATATGTCAAGTTTCTCATTGAGATGATTGCTCTAGTACAATGCACTTTAATGTGATGCAATACTTTAGAATAAACACTAAAGAATTAGTAATTGTCATTTTCTTTTTTTTTCTTCCATGTGAGTACAATAAATTTCATAATCTTTTTATATTTGTTTCAATTTTAATGAATTTCAGATGAAACCTTTTCTTTTCCTTCTCTAATTTTTCCAGGGTAGCATTTTTGTGTCCACCTCTAGACTTACAATAGCATAGCATATAATATCATATACTTAGCAATTAAATTGTGTAAATGATCAGAAATTGGTAATGATAAGAGGGATTACATTGAGTGCCAACTTATCAGGTGTATCATTTCTTTTTCTTGGTAATATATTCTCAAACAGTAAACTGCAAATTCAGTGATATAAACTATGCTTATTGTAGCTCTTTGTCATTGCACTTTCAGATTCCAATTCAAGTTACATAAACCTTGTTTCTGTTTTATCATGGGATCTTTGTGATTGATTGTTGTATTTACTCAATAGCATATCTCGATCAATCTAAATCCCATGATGTTTAGTTAAGTTTATCTGTCCACTATCCATAATTATCTAACTTTTCAATCTTCAAATTTGTATATGTAACTGACAAGATTACTAGCATCAAAGAAAATAGAAATATGCCTGATTGACAAAAAACTTTTATTTAAGAGATTAATGAATGATTCCACCACTTTTGATACGTTTGATTTCTAATAACTTCATCTATATTATCTGTAACACATTTCCAGTTTTTTGTGCCTGTCTTTTCTCTCTACTGAAGCCTTTTCTGGCTTCATGTTTTAGTTTTTCTTGCCTAAGTCTTTATGTTTTCTCTATTATTGTATAACAGTTAGCCAAGATGGTTGCACGGGACTTCACTGTGGACTTAAATAAACCTCTTGTGTTCCAGGTAAAAGAGTTTGCATTTTTACTCATTTTTATATCAAATAGATATTTTCCATGCAAATTATGTGCCCTTAATCCTTTCATGATTGTGTCAACCTGAAGAGTGCCCCATTATACGAGTGACACAATTCCTAGTAAATCTAGCAATGAACGGAATGGCCAACAAGGAATTATGTTACTCAATCCCAAATCTATTAGGAATACTGCTTATTTTGTTTTTGTTGTTGATCCTTGCATGGGTATATCTTCTCTTGGTTCATAACTGTTTACTTGTATGCTGCTTTCTTTTATATTTTAAAGGGGATCAAAACTTTTACATAGGATCTGCGCCTGGCTGTTTTATGACGCACGTAAGGAGATTTTTAAATGTGAATGAACATGAACATTGTTTGAGATTGAGTTATTGATAAATCTTCTGCCATGGCTCTGCATAAACTCACTGAATGTACCTTCTTTTACAATCTATTTTATGTGCTTGCGCTCCTTTTAGATTTATATCCCTTGTCTTTCCTCCCATTTTTCACCTCATAATATTTTTTTCACTTTCAAAGGTTGGACATCTTGGTGAAGCTTATCAGGAGTGGGTTCACCAGCCAATTGTCAGCAAGGAAGGCCCTCGGTTTTTTGAAAGTGATTTCTGGGAGGTACTACTTTCATTTGTTTGTGTCAAGATCAAATCCATTATCATATTCTTCATTGATTTGGAAACGTTTTATGGTAAAGAAGTATTTACTTATACATACTAGTGATGTGTACCCTCATAATGTTGTCTCCTTTTTGAACAGTTTTTGACACTCACAGAGTGGTATGTAATTCCCCTCATTTGGCTCCCAGTTGTTTTCTGGTTCATCTTGAAATCCATTAGAATGGACCTTACAATACCTCAAGTGGCATTGATGATGGCATTTGGCATCTTCATTTGGACATTGCTAGAATACACTCTGCATCGTTTCCTTTTTCACATCAAGACTAAGAGCTACTGGTTAGATTATTCTTTCTCCTTTCTCCTTTCTCTTTCTCTCCATTCAAGTCTTCTGCCTGTCCTCTTCCATCTCTTGTCTGTATACGCGTTTGACATTTGAGTCTTATCTGTACTCCACTTTACTAGTTTTTAAATCTTGCTTAAATACTTTTATTGTCTTGTAGGGGAAACACCATTCATTATCTTATTCATGGTTGTCATCATAAGCATCCAATGGATGGTCTACGCCTTGTCTTCCCACCTGCTGCAACTGCTATTCTCTTGGTGCCAGTATGTTTATAGGCCTCAAACCTATCTGGTTTTCCACTTTCTTTTGGATACCCTTCGAAATTCTGGGCTCCGCATGATCTGTTGACATAATGTTTTGCCTGAATAACCAGGCTAACATTTCTGAGAATTTTGTGCCTGTTAGTACTATTGTCTCTCATACGGAAAGTTGCTGTATTCAGCTGTGAATGTTTGAATTTCTGTTATCTTTTGAATTATGAATCAAAATTAATTTCATCTATAACATTTGTCATGATTCTTGGACAGAGAACGAGAGCTAAAATATGGCTTTGAATGGAAAGACTTTTTAGTATGAAAAAGAGCACTGAATTTTTGAAATTTTTTGTTATGCCTTATTATGTTGCTTTACATTTTGAACTATTTCAAACTCTTTGTTGAATTCAATTTTCAGGTCTGGAACTTGATAAAATTTATAGCTGCTCCTCCTACTGCTCCTGCTATATTTGGAGGTGGTCTACTGGGTTATGTGATGTACGATGTAACCCATTACTACTTGCACCACGGGCAGCCAACCAGTGAAGTACCCAAAAGACTCAAGGTAATCGATTTTACTCATCAATTGCTTATTGATATCTAAACAATTTTTTATCTTTTTATGCTTTGATGTCATTCATTCTTGATACGCACTGCTTGGTGAATTTTTATCCCTTCACTGGTTTCAAAATTACAATATTATCTGGTGCTAATACCATTCTGATGGGTGTCGTGAAACTCTGAAGTTGATGCTAGTTTCACTACAACCTATTACAGATCTATTAAAATTTCTATTTTTCATAGTGCTTATGATCAACTTAATTTTTCTGTCATGCAGAAATATCATTTGAATCATCATTTCCGCATCCAGGATAAAGGCTTTGGTATCACTTCCTCACTCTGGGACAAGGCCTTTGGAACACTACCTCCATTGAAATTGGCTAAGAAGAATAGATAATTGCAATATGTAGATGATGTCAAAGGCCTCTTGGAAGCTCTCAATATTCAACATTCTTGCTTCAGCTCTCGCGTGTACCGTTGTGTCTTCTGAGAAAGTTTAGGCTGTTTGTTGCTTTTGATTTCTTTCTTCTAGGATTTTGTTAAAAGAAACAAACTGACGATCATGCATCAATTAATTCATACATCGTTGCATAATTTAATTTAATTTTTTTTGCTCTGATTATTTTCACTGGACTGCTTTGTAAGATACTTGTTTAGGCTCTGCTATGGTATATATGGCCTATTGTTCCAACATATTGCTTTGGATTAGAATATTTCAGTCGATCAAACTGAAATATGCTTGCAGCATATTATTTCAACCCCATGCTGAAAGATTGAGTAAAATTCTTGTTTCTAAAATGGCATCTGATTAATCTGATCTTGATATGTATAATCGTCGTCTGATATCAGCCCCTTTATCTTTTAATTGTTGAATAGTTTCGGCTACTGATTTATGCTCCAAGTCTTCTAATGTTCTTTTTATTCCATCTCCATTTGTTCTACATCAATATCAGATCCTTTGGCACGAGTTTGAAAATGTACTGTGTTTATGATGAGGACATCGGACGACGTTTATTTATTTTATTTAAGTTTTATTTATTTTCTTGGACTATTATTTAAATTGGATTTGTATAGGCTCGGGCTCAAGCTCGTTAGGGTTGCTTTACTATTTAAACCTATTTTGCATTGTAATTTTCAGTTGATGATGAATGAATAATTATTTTGGTGGCTTATGACGCATCCCTTCCCTTATTCTACTCTCTTTTGTTAAATTCTTCTTCTTCTCCTCTTTAATTCCCCATTCTTCTCTTTAATTCCCCCTCCCTATAGATTTGTTCTATTTCTCAATTAATTGTCCTGTTGGTGCTGCATCAAATTTGGTATAAGAGCCTAAACTTGGGTAATCTCTTATCTCCAATCCAAAATCTAGGTTTTTTCTGCAACTTCAGTTAACACCCCAGCAGAAAAAAAATTTCATATTACTGTTCGCGGGTACTATTCACACCCAAAAATTCATTTTTTTGTATTATCAGCTTCAAAAAAAAAATTCATTTTTTTTCCAACTGCTGCTGCTCATAAATAAAAATAATAATTGTGGTGTTGTTCCACAAATCCCAATCCCTAGCATTCAAGTCATCACATTCTTCAAATTTAGGTTCATAAATTTAGCTTGTTTTGGATTTAATTAATCCCAATATTTAAAATTAAATAATAATAAAAAAATTGGTACAAGTTATTTTCCATTGCTTGCACATATTGTTCACTGATCTCATTATAGCACATCATTTCGCTGGTATTACATTGCATGTAGTTGCGTATTGATCGTCTTGTCGTCTCTATTTCCAATACATTGACCATGGATCCATCCCAATTTGCTGCACTCACTAAACAATTAGCGCAACTTGCCACTAGCTTATCGACTGTCCAATCATATATAACTGCTACTCGTGAGAAGAGAAAGACCCTAGCTGCTAAGTTGAGCAATTTTAAGCGAACCCTTCGTTTGACTGACACTAATTCTGAAACGTCTCATAATAGACAATATCATCGTGAACAAAGTGATCAAGAATATTTTCGACGCGATCGTAGGAATAGGGATCAGGTTCATGAGCGAGAACAAGGCCATGGTCATCATGGTACTAGTTCTCTTCCTCGTCGTAAGGAGCATTTCTTTAGAGACATTGACTTAGATATTCCTACTTTCGATGGTTGCTTAGATCATGAAATTTTTACCCAATAGAGCACCCTTACACAAGAGAATCGGCTAGTAACTGAGTACATTGCTCAATTTGAGGAATTTCGAGTGAAATGTCATGTCGTTGAAGATGAGGTCCTGACTTTAAGTAGGTTTTGACAAGGTCTACGAGATGAACTTAGGCGTGAGCTTTTCTTTCGAGGCATCACTATTCTTGATCAAGTTTACTCTTCAGTTCGGGACTACGAGTTACTTATTAGTACTGCATATGAAAAGCGTGATCACCATCGTTCACCCATCTCATTAGCGTCATCTCATCATAAGTCTATCATATAGCCTTCCCAGTCTAGTGTTCCTTCCCTTTGGAAAAACAAGTGTAAAGGTCGTGATAGCCCAAAGTCATCTTCTTCATGTAGAAAGCGTAATGACAATCATCCTTCGGTTTCATTGGCTCCACTTCCTCTTGTTAAGTCCCTTCTAGGACCTCCCCCGTCTAGTGTTCCTCCCATTTGGAAAA